AACTCCTCCACTTGGCACCCGTGAGATATTCAGTTTCATAATATAAAAATGAATTAGACTTTTCTTTTAAAATGTGGATTTTAGTTTGCGTATTCTTAACCCAACAGACTAATCCCTTGTGTGAATCTGCCTGCTGCACATTGTCTGTCATGCTGAAAGTCTCTGTTAATTTGTTTTGTTAAAAAAGATTACTACGAATAAGCAGTGGCAGATTTTTCAACATTAATATATTGGCTAATTTCCCCCCCAGCCTCATCCCCAGCAACATAAAGTATTTGTCTATTAAATCATACTGATTTAAATCCATGGGTCACTAACATCATGTTGTGGACTCTGAGAGGGACGAAGGGAGAGAGAGAGAGACTGTGTATCGCTTGTTCTCCCAATGATGATCCACCCTCCATCTGCTCTGTAATATTAGGGCAGTATAAAGTAGGCAAAAGTAATTTAATGCACTGGGCTTGGTTGTTTGTGTCCTCCTTTTTTAGTATTGGAATTATTTCTCTCACTGTGCATAGGTGTTGACATTTATTAAGACTGAATCTCCCCTGGGTGCTTGCAGCCCCCAATCACGTATTCAGGTCACTTTGTAGTGAGGTTCTATCCGCCTGTGTGTTATGCTACCCTTGTGATGTTGTCATTTATAAATATGATCATTAGTTAAATTTACACCAGATGAACATTCATCAAGGGGAAAAAAAACTCAGTTGGAACAAGTTCTTGTTTTTTTGTTGGCTTTTTTGACACTGAAACATTTAGAAACCCCCCTCAAGATGCTAGGACCTAGACTGGGTTGTCAGAGCCACAAGTATTACTGCTAGAAGATGAACAGATGCTCCACCACTAAGATACAAGCCTCTCTGTAGGCACATGGGAATGCCCTATGGACTATAATTTGAGAAAACACTGGTTCAAATCACAATAGTGTTTGCAGATGCCTCTTCAGTGAATGATAACATTTTATGCTACAAGAGCAAAACACCTCTCAAATTTTATTTACATTTGTGTAACTTAAACAGCCGGAGCTCATTTTAGATAACTTGAAAAATAAAAAGATAGGAAAAAATTAGCTGCTTGGCCTGAGTCTTGCATGCCAAATTCCCAGTCCAGAACATCGGAGTCATAAGCCCCTGAAGTTAGGCGTTTATAATGGGGATGTCGACACAAAGCTCTGCTATAATTTTCTTTTCACTTTATCTTATAAATGAATTAAGAAGCTGGGTCAGAACAGGGCATTCTTTCAATTTCTGTTGTCAATTGGAGACAAGCTTGACTGATGCCGATAAAATTATGAATTCAGACTGCTCCAGATTCTATTCCCTCTGTATTTTATGTCTTTCTATAAAATAAGCAATAGGTTTCATAGCTTTTTTTTTTAAAGAAAAAGTTGTGCCAAGCTCATTTGACTTTATCAAATGCTGCCACAAAATGATTAACAGCACAAGTCCTGATGGATAGCGACTGGCGTGATAAAGTAGACTGTTTTACAAAGCATAGTGTTGCGTGTAGGAATTTGGCATATGGATTTACAGGCATTGGATGTCAAGTTACCATGGTTTCTTTATAAACACTCAGCAGGAAGTGACTTTTTGTTCAATAACAAGGCATTACCATGTAAGTAAAAAAGGAAGGCTGCTATGCGGTTTGTGGGGATCCACCAGCCAAGATGTTAGATTATTCCTGTATGGGGGACTATCATTCAGGCAGGATTTAGCCAACCAGAACTGAAATTTTCTTTGCACCATTGCTATACAGCTCATCCTTTCTCTCTTCTGCAAATTTATGTTCCATTTTTCTTCGGTGAATGTAACTTTTGATGCACACATGGCAGCTAGCAAAGAGAGTGCTTTAAAAAAAAAAGGGTGGGGTGGGGTGTAGGCAGGGCCGGCACTTACATTTAGGCGACCGCCAGGATTGGGAGGGGGGCGGCATTTTGCCGCCCTCAGCGGCAATTCGGCGGCGGGGTCCTTCCGCGCTTCAGGTCTTCGGCGGCAATTCTGCCGCGGGTCCTTCACTCTCTCCAGGACCCGCCGCTCAAGTGCCCCGAAGACCGGGAGCGCGGAAGGACCCCCACTGCCGCAGAATTGCCGGCGACGACCGGGAGTGCGGAAGGACCCCCGTCTAGGGCGCCAAAAACCCTGGTGCCGCTCCTGGGTGTAGGAGTAGAAAATGCTCCATCCATTCCCTCGTGGCTTCAAGGTTTTTTTGGGGGGGCTTGAACACCACTTCAGTCGATAAAGCTGTGCCAAGTGCACCTGATACTTGAGCTCTCATTCTGGCTGGAGTTTATTGTTGGCAGGCTTCAAACAGTTGCAGTGATTGCTTTTAGCTATTTGATACCTTACAAATCCTTTAGGAATATGTGTCACAATGAGCAGCATTTGTCAGTTAGGGAGTTTCTTGCAATGCAAAAGGCAAGGTAACCCTCTGAGTTAAATACTTCTGTGCTTAGACCTAAACTTGAAGTCTATGCTCTTTCAGACAGGAACATTGTCCATTCTAGAGGAAAATGCTGTCCTATGGATTCATGGATTAATAGAACTGAGGAGCCTAATTTCTGCTTTAAATTCTCTTTAACTGAACTTGCAATTTCAATATTTTGCTGGGTATGCTTGAGTGTTCGAGAGGAATAGGGTGAGATTATTTTCCAATATGCTGTGGCAAGCGGGCACTGGTCTGCCATCACTGGTTAACAGGGGGGATTTGATGTTTGATGTTGACTGATTGGGTCTTGCCTGATTGAGGGTACCGGGGGAGGAAAAACTCTGCAAATGGGTTGGTGGATCCAAGACACAACCACATTAACTTCCAGGTAATAATCCCTTCTTGGATTGATCATTTTTTTTTAAAAGGGATTTAAGTTTTAGGGGAATGGTGGTTGTCCTAGGACAAAAGGAAATCGTACATGGAAATATGCAGTAGCAATCTGGAAAAAAGCAAGTTTTGGGAAGTTCAGGATATACAGGGGGAAATTGATTTACACTTCAGTTTAAATAGCTGGTCCAAAAGTTAGCCATTTGAACTTGTTCGTTATGTCCCTGCCACACCGGAGGATACTTTCCTTACTCCTTATTTAGGTGTTCCTGGTACGTACAACGCAAGTCCTATGGTCACATGAAAAGTTCCTTGCTAGGAAGCCTAGTTGGATGGATGGTTTTGTGGTTAAGGCACTGGACTGGTACTTAACAGATTTAATTCCTGGCACAAACATTCTCTGTGTCCTTGGCAATTTACTTGATCTCTGGGGGCTGCAGTTTCCTATCTGTATAATGGAGATATTTACTTTTTTCCCCCTCACACTTTTGTCTATGTAAACTGTAAACTCTTTAGGACAGGCTTCCTCTTCTGTGTTTGTACAGTTCCTAAAACACTGGGGCTAGTGGGCTACTGTGAAACAATCAATTTATCTGCATTGTAAGGGTTAAGGTAACTTGGTCTAATTGCGTTTGTAAGAGCCCCGCCTCATTGTAGCCCCCTGCATCAGTTATCCCTTCCCCAGCCTTTTTTCATCTCGTTCGTACCATGTATTCGTGGAACTCCACTGCCTTTTGCTGTGATAATATTACAGTCTAGCAGTATTGGGTTAGATTAGTAGCAATTGCATGGTAGACCACCAACTAATGTAGGAACTGGTGTTTAAGAAGGTAGAACTTTTGAGGCATTACGTCACTACCACATTTTGAATGAGATGTAAAACCTAGGTCCTCATCAATTACAGCCATGGCATCTATCACAGAAGTACTAGAGCCTTTGAGCCTGGTGTCTTGGTCAATTTCCAACTTTGATGATCATGTTCTATCTATCTAGAGTCTTACTGCAATTTCAGTTGTTTTAAGATACTGATGTTAAGCAGTTGCTGAGTTTTATCTCTGACGTGACTGCTTTTCAGTGGTGGAAGAAGTGATTCCTACCCGAGTGAAGTTTGAATATAGCCTGAATAGTGTTTGTAAAGCACTATATTCTCTGTCAGTTTAAAATATTTATGATGATGATGCATTCATAAGTGTAGCCATCTAAGCAGAAGAGCTAGACACTGCAATAGTTTTCCCCTCATCTTTTTTCTTTTACAGTTATTAAGAAATAAGACAATGGAAGAAAGGCTAGTTGTATTTTGAGCACCTGAGGTTTTACTAAGGCACACTCCTTTCGCAGAAGTGCGTAGATTCATGGAGAAAGAAGAAAAGTGTGTAGATTCATGGAGAATCTGAATAATTAGTTGTGTGTGAATATAAATTTAAAGAGCACTGAGACTATCCGTGAAATATTTGCTTGACTTTGTGAGCAACATCTCTGCTTTCTAGAAAGCTGTATGTGGATTTTCCCATTTCTAAGGTCATTATCATTAACCAGGCAATTCTTTCTCCATTCAGTGCTGTGGTTTTTTTTTCTTTCTAAACCAATGCTTTTGTTGTGATTATTGCTGGGATTGTGTTTGTAACACAACAGATCTCATTTTACAGCAACCTTTTAGTGTCCAGTTGTCAAAAACAAACAAAAATAATTACTCAGCCTCTGTCATGTGAAATGTAATTTGAGAAAGCTCAGTTCTTCCCTGAGGAAAATCTAATTTAGTTTACTGCATTCCAGCTATGATTGGTTGCCTTGGTTTTCTTTACAATTAGAAAAGAAAATGTTACTGTTAAGTTTTTAATAGTGAGTTAAACAGAAGAGATTTTGATTAGTTTCCTCTCTTGTTTTAGTCTGGTTCATAGGTTATGACCTCATCATTGTATTAGCTAAATTCTGAAGTCTTGTCTGAGTTCATTTGTTTTCTGAACAAAAGTCGCATAAAAATTCACTTTGATTTTATTAAACTATTACTTTGTTTAGGATGAAAATTCTAGCTTCTATTTTTAGACCATAGAATATTTACATTTTATATAATAAACATTGTGGTTCTCTTAGATTATACTGTTTTTTTAATGTGTCCTGTTTTGTACTCTTATTGTCTGAGGTACAGAAGTTAATTGCCATTATTTTAAATTATTTCTTTTTTAAAGATTGCGTATATATTGAAAGTCGCCGGCCGAACACCCCATACTTCATCTGCAGCATTCAAGACTTCAAATTGGTAAGCAGTGCTTTCCATGTTTTTTCCTAACATAGAGGTGATATTGCACAATCTTTTACTCCCTTTAACCCTCCTCCTTTATTAATCTCTAGTAACTTTGTCACTACTGAAACAATGAAGTGCCCCGGTACAGGGAGAGCTAGTTGGTTAATTGGGAGAGACAGAGAACTCTTCACAAGGTTTTATAATCTACATAGCTACCTATTGTACTTTGAGTGCTCTAAGGGGACGTGGTACGGTAGTTTACTGTTTTGCTGAAAAAGTTGATTATAACATTGTCTAGATCAGGGGTCGGCAACCTTTCAGAAGTGGTGTGCCAGGTCATCATTTATTCACTTTAAGGTTTCGTGTGCCAGTAATTCATTTTAACGTTTTTAGAAGGGCTCTTTCTATAAGTCTATAATATATAACTAAACTGTTGTTGTATATAAAGTAAATAAGGTTTTTAAAATATTTAAGAAGCTTCGTATAAAATTAAATTAAAATGTAGAGCCCCTAGGACCGGTGGCCAGGACCCGGGCAGTGTGAGTGAAAATCTGAACTGAACTGAACTGAAAATCAGCTCGCATGCCGCCTTTGGCACGCATGCCATAGATTGCCTACCCCGGTCTAGATACTATACTGTAATGATAAATTCTCTATAAATAAATGCTGAAGATGGAGTTGTGGGCTAGCAAGAGTTGTGATTTGGTAGCCTGTTGAACTACATGGATACAGGACTGGAGTTGAGATTTAATGACTCCCTCACCATCTCCTCTGAAGGACACTTGTCATGAAAACTGTTAGATTAAAAAAAAAATCATTCAAATCTCCTTTCAAAACCTTCTATCTTAAATGAATTTTTAATTCAAGGGCACATGTCACAACAGTAAGAACTTGAGAGAAGTGTGATTTTCTCTCTCCCCCCTCCAATCCATAGCTTTGTAACATGAAATAAGTTTAACCAAATCCTTCTGCTAGTTTTAAGTGGGCTACACATGCTTATTATAGTGATACAATACAGTAGGAAACCTCCACCTTCCTTCTCCAGGTGTTACAGCATAGGTGGCATCTGTTTTTCTCAGGCCCCTGTTATACCTAAAAGTAATCAGGATGAGTTAGATAGAATGAGGTCCTTAACTGAGAATCTCCTTTATTTTAGCGGCTTTTGTGTCACAAATATTTATATAACTTAAAAGTTAAAGCAATAAATAATGACAGACCCAGGGTGACATATTACTAGTTTAGATTACCGACCATCTGTTGCTGCTAAAGGTTCTCTTTCCTTTCTCTGGATGCTCCCTCCAATCCCCAGTTAATTTTGCAGGGCTGCAGTGCGGGAGAACGCGTTCTTTTCTTTCGCCTGTTACATTGATGGCTTTCTTCTTCAATATTCATGTCAATGCTAGTTTTCTGTTTTTCCAGACGTCTCCATTATTTACAGTATCCATCCTTTCAGGTAATTATTTACACTCTTCCCTGACTTCTCTGAAGCCTAGCAGCTACCTGTTTCTTGAACTTTTTGTTATTACTTCCACATTTGCTGCTTTTCTGTGATCTCTAACAAGTACAATACGGTTACACCATGAAAAATACTTAAGTGTAAAAAAAAAGTGTTGGCTTTTATCTACCAGGTTCTAAGAATGCGTTAAACCCCATTTGTACAATTTTTGCACATTAGCAGGTGCCTTCATGTTTCAGCGACATCTCTCATGAAATGCTGAATTACAATGTGATAGTTGCCATTCTGGATAGAAGTTCCTGCTGAGTTACAGTAATTGCTCAGGGTATTAACAGCAATAAAAGCTGAAGCTTCTGTTGTCAGTATTGGTCTAGTACAACACATTAAAGCTGTCTGCAAAACAATGTGGGAAGCAAAGTGCAATATATTTTGATCCTTTAATAAAAAAAAAACCAACAACCTCAGACGGTGTTTCTTACATTTGTTTTCGTTTTGAGGTTCTGTATGCAGCTCACACTTGCAGGGATTTATAATGGTAGGAATGCTGCTGATTCCTATTTATGGAAGGAATATAGTTGCTGTATGCCTATCCCCTTCACACTGTAGCTTCTTTAATTCCCCTGATGGTTTCGTCAATAAAATCGGGGGCATAATGAACGCTTAAAAAGAGACTGATGTTGGTTTTGCTAACAGAAAATGGATCTGCAGTGTTTTTGTCACGGTTGATCTATTTGCTGAGGAAAGGGTAGTATGTACAGTGGAAAGGACACTTGATCTCTCTGCTATGCCAGATTCCAACAAGAAAACACAATTTTGTTTTGCCCTTAGCAAAACCTGTCAAGTGAAGCAGGGGGAAAAAAACCAGCTTTGAAATGTCACCAACTAATTAAGTACATTATCTTCTTGGTTATCATAAACTAAATGTGGGTTTGGATGCACAGCTGACAGTTTTTTTTTACTTCCTTGGTGGTTCGAGTGATTTTGGTGCAATCCAGGCACAGAACTTTTCCCTAGTTATGTTTTTACATCCAGAATGGGTGGGGGAGGGGTGGCAAAAGGACCATTGACCATGTTTGACAGGTTCGGTCAGAGAGACTCCCTTGGGACTGTCACCTGATGTGCTGGAATTACCTCTGAGCACGTTTTCCCTGCCAGCTTGGGACTCCAGAACCCTGCCTTGTTGAGCCAGACACGCTAGCCTGCTGCAACACAGACCCAGGTCTAGTCCACACCCCCAAAGCTGCAGGCTATAAGCAAAAATTGCTCGGCAGGTCACCTATCTCTAGCACCCAGTTCCCAATGGGATCCAAATAAATCAGTTTTACTCTGTATAAAGCTTATACAGGGTAAACTCATAAATTGTCCACCCTCTATAACACTGTTAGAGAGAGATGCACAGCTGTTTGCTCTCCCAGGTATTAATCACTTACTCTGGGCTAATTAATAAACAAAGTGATTTTATTAATATAAAAAGTAGGATTTAAGTGGTTTCAGGTAATAGACAGAACAAAGTAAGTCACCAAGCAAAATAAAGCAAAAAACATGCAAGTCTAAGCCTAATACATTAAGAAACCGATTACAGGTAAAATCTCACCCTCAGAGATGTTCCAATAAGTTTCTTTCACAGACTAGACGCTTTCCTAGTCTGGGCCCAATCCTTTCCCCGGTACAGTCCTCGTTAGTCCCAGCAGATATCTTAGGTGGAAGCCAGGGGTGTTCTCATGACTGGCAGCCCCCTTTGTCCTGTTCCACCTCCTTTATAGCTTTTGCATCAGGCAGGAATCTTTTGTCTCTCTGGGTCCCCTCCCCCCAATGGAAAAGCACCAGGTTTAAGATGGATTCCAGTATCAGGTGACATGTTCACATGTCCTGTGAGACCCCCCTCCATTCTTCCAGGGCTGGCCCCGCACACACCCAGGAAGGTTTGCAAGTAAACAGATCATTTACAACCAGTTGCCCTAGTCAATGGGAGCCATCAAGCTTCCAAACCGCCATTAATGGCCCACACTTTGCATAATTACAATAGGACCTCAGAGTTCTACTTCATATTCCTAGTTTTAGATACAAGAATGATACATTCATACAAATAGGATGAACACACTCAGTAGATTATAAGCTTTGTAATGATACCTTACAAGAGACCTTTTGCATAAAGCCTATTTCAGTTACACTATATTCACATTCATAAGCATATTTCCATAAAACATTATGGAGTGCAACGTCACAATTTGCATTTTACAAATGGTGACAATAGGGTCCAGAGGTGAGGTAACCTGTCTAAGATGACAAGCAGCTTTGCAACAGAGCTGAGACTAGAACCCAAGAGTCTTCATTCCTGGTTCAGTGCCTGATCCACCTGACTAATTAGCCAGTTCTTCTGTGGCTAATTACACGTAGAGAAAATGCATCAGGGATTTACACCTATGGATATGGCTACTGAAATTCCCTTTTCATTCTGAAAGCTTAAATTGAAAACAGACTTGGGTCTTCCAATAATAGATCTTAAATCATCACTGTCTCCCCTGCCCTCCAGATTGCAAAGTATGACACCCAATCATTTCAGTGATCTAGCCAAACCCTCTCCTACTTAAAAAAAGAAAAGAAAAGAAAAAAAGAAAGGAAAAAGCTGCTGGATATACTCCTAGAATGGCTGAGATCTTATGTTGAAAGACTCCCTTTTCGCTTTAATAAAGCTTGATCAGGATGACTAATTGTGTAATTAAAACTTTCTTGCCTGTCTCACCTCTGCTAAAATTTAAGTGAATTAAACAAAACAAGTGGTGGGGGAGAGGGATAGGATGACACCCAGCTTGATGGATCTGTATGGACTGAACTGCCATGGCTGCCTCTGGAAGCGATAGGTTCACATGACAAGTGTTATGGATTGTTTCAGAACAGCCTATAGTCTAATCTCTAGATTGTGCTGCCGAGGAAAAAAAAACAATAATCGTCCTCCCCTCACATGCTCTTTCAATCTCCCACTGTCATAGCATGTACGTTGCTATGTTTTCTCACATTAGTATATTGCACTTATATTACAAGTCCCTCTGACACTTTAAGATGAATCAATTCTGCTAAAAGAGATACTAGAAGAACATCTCTTTTCATTTCCTGAAGAACAGTCCCTGCTCACCAATAGCCATTAAGTCCCAGCGATAAAGCTTTTGTTACTACTGCTCTTCTCTTTGTAATCTGTCTCTACTGCTGTGCTGTTCATAATTTTGTTTCACTTGGACATCTACAGTGTTGAGGAGCTGGTTCATTCTCTCCATAAATTGCTCCTCAAGTGTTAATGGGTCTAGGAGCAGCAGCAGACTTGGTTCCAAAGCTCATTGTTACAGACTTCACTTGAGATCAGAAGCTAACCCTTCACATTTTTCTATGGCACCTGGAAATCAAATGGGGGCTAGAGGAAAGAAAGCAGGAGTAGATCATAAAGTGATTTTGCCTTTCTAGGTGCACTGTATTAGAAATTGTCACAGATAACATTTGTGGTCTCCTATGTAAGGCATTTCAATGATGGCTATCTCCTTCAAATATTCAGTTATGGGTAAAACTA